TCTTTCCCCACCCCTCCCCTCCCCCTCTTCCCCCACCCCTTCCCTCTCCTCCTCTCCCCCCAACCCTCCCCTTCCCCAGGGCTCAGAGTCGGAGACGGTCGTGTACGTCCTTGGCCCAGCCATCCCCCAGAACTGGCAGCACGTGTACACGGCCGTGACGCGCGGACGCAGGTCTGTCTTCATCATCGGCAAGTGGTCCCAGCTGTGTGTGGCCGTGAAGAGAAAGCCGAACCTTCGCCAGACGCGCCTGTGCCAGCGACTCAAAAACGCTGTGAGGGAAAACAGCAGCCTCATCGAGGTGAGTGGAGTTTTGAATACGGTAGTGCAGTAGAGCAAAGTTGTTCTCGCATCCGATCCGGACATTAGGGATTGCCTTGTTAGTGAGACAACTTCCTGGGCCTTCGGCGTATCGTGTTAGGGTGGCCAGTTCCTTTCCACGCAGAAGATGAAGAAAGAGAGGAGGGCCTAAGTTTGGGGGGGGGGGGAGGAGCGACGAAGATTTAGAACTTCTGAAGGAGATGGGATACAGCTGGGCAGAAGTGGAGACGATAGCCCCGGACAGAAGTACTGTATATAAACCATAACTGCCTCTTTCCCGCTAAGTAACGGAAACTTCGCTTCATCTAGCTACTCCCGCTACTTTCCTCCTTCCTCCACTGGACCGCTCTCGGTCGCAAATTTCAATACTTTTTTTTTTACACGCGGAAAACACCAAACCGGGAGGGAGATGAAAATGCAGCTTGCGCATGTCCGCCCGTAGCTTTCTAGTTCCGTTCTTCTGTGCCAAGTGCCTAGGGCTAGTTTCACATTGTTTATTGTGGAGCGACACAGTGTCGATCGGGCATCGGGATGTTGGCGCGCCGAGTTGTCATTGAAAACGGCGGAAATTCGATAGAAATTGATGCCGAATGCAAAAATAAAAGGAGCTGGAATGAGAAAGAAGCAGCCGGTGTGCGACTTGAAAAGTTCATTAGAAAAATGAACAAGCCGCTTGCTGCACTTTGCGTTTGGTGCGATAAAGAAATTGCGATACTCCTGTACAATTGCGGTCCCGTTTGTTTAAATGACGGCTATTGTGGCTGTGGAAGTGAATCTAGCTAGATCTAGATCTAGATAGCCTAGATAATCTATCTCTAGATATAATCTAGATCTACACATATTTAGATTGCTAGATTCTAGATCTAAACAAGATAGCCTAGGCTATAGTTTTAATTCAGTTTAGATCTAATTTATAGAAACACTCTACAGGGGCACTAAGTGCAAACGGGACAATAATTGTACAGGAGTGCCCAAATCGCTCAGTACAGCGGCAGAGGTGTTGCCTCCTTGATTCAATACTGCTCTACATCGATGTACAAGTTTAAAGTGAAAGAAATCTTTTTATGAGACACCAGCTGGCAACAAACGCTGGATTTTTTGTTACCAAACTATGTCAAATGCTTGTTAGTCAACTTAGTGCCTTGGGTTTTTTTTTTCAAATACATCTTAATTCAGTAGCCTATGGTTAACAAAAATGATTTCCCAGTATATTGCTTCTGGATCTCACTAGTTTTACTCCGGCCTTCGGAGAGCGCGCGTACGCCTTCGCGTGAATTTCCTCCTTTTTTGAAATTCCTGAGTGGCAGCTATGATAAACCGGCATATGACGCAACCTCACATATGATACGGGAGAGGGGGGTGGGGGTGTAGTTTTTACCCGAAATGCGAACTTTGAAGTAGGGGGCCCTGGTGTATGTCATGGTGTGTTGTGATGCACAATCAGGACCAAAGGCTTGTAGTGTATTCTGTAGTTCCAAAAAAAGGTTTCATTTATTTATGCAAACAGTAACCTCCTCTCTTCATTTTTTCCCCATTACTCGACAATGGCGAGCCTGCCAAGACCTCTTTTTTTTCATCACACCTTTGTTTGCGTTACATTTTTATACTGGACCACAATCCCAGTCCTTGACACCCCAGTGGGTGGTTAGCGGATGCTCCAGTGTGGTTTGCTCCTTTTTCCTATCCAACATCTATCGTCCGTATCTCTCCTCCTTCTTTTTTTGTATTTGTTACTTCCTTGTAACACCTCTAATCTTCGGCACTTATTTGACCTTATTGTGTTGCAACTACAGTAACGTAAAACTCTAACTAAAAATTTTTTTTACATTTTTAACACCCCAGGGCAGAAGACTATCCATGGCCATGTTATGAATTTTTCTGCCAGGTTACTTATTTGTTTTTTCTTTGCTGATTATTACAACATTATATCATCATGCTCGTAAGAAAATTGCGTAAGTCCTTTTTGTCCGGTTTGTGGAGTTTTTGGTTCTGAAATGAAGAGCAGAGCCAGCTTGGCAATATAGTTCACTTGGACAAAAGAATAGTCCAAATATAAAATCAATTGAGAGTACCAAAATTCAAGCGTTTCACAGAGTCAATTGTTTGAAAGAAACATTTTTTTCTCATTTTCTCAAAATGGCTAAAAATGGCATAGACTTTTATCCTATGATCATGATGATATGTGAGGCGTTGTGGTGAAATTAGGTGCTCGTCAAAATAATAAAATCGAAGAAAACAACATTTTGTTCCCGTTTCGCAGTTTTTATCAATTTTTAGGGGTTTTGGCTCAACACCCTTTATGTCCATTTAGAAACAAATTCTCGTGAGGATTTTACTGAAAAATGATGATTAAAGTCACAAAAATGTAAATTTACAGTTTCCATGGACATTTTCTAGCTAATTTTACCTCTGAAACCAAGTCATCCCCACCTCCTTCAATCCGAAATATCTCCACTTCTATTGAAGATAGATTGCTAACTTTCTCCTCAAAAGCAAGACAATGAACAAGCTTTAAGATGAAACCAATTACTCAATATGCCCAAAATTTGACGAATGCCTGATTCCTCTGTGTCGGGACACACATATGGTTGTGGGTGATTGGCGGGTGCTCTGGTGTCGTTTGCTTCTTCTTTCCTATCAAACATCTATCGCCTTTATCTCTCCTCCTTCTTTTTTATGTTTTTTACTCTCTTGTAACACCTCTAATCTTCTGGCGCTCATATGACCTTATGCAGTTGCGAGCGCCGTAAAACCTCAGCTAAAACTAACAAACACATATAGTGGTGGGTGGGCAGCCCTGGGTCAGTCTCTCAGGGCTGGAAGGGTAAAACAGTGCTGGGGAATTCATGATTCCTCTAAATTTTCCACAAGTTTCCCTCTTCCCCCTACCTCCCTCCCCCTCAATCACTCCATGTTTCTTTCTCTCTCTTTTTATTTCTCTCTTTCTGCTCCCCTCTTTTTGCCTCTCTACACACACATTCTGCGTGTACAATAAACACTTTTTTTTTAAACTCTCAAATATATTTCTTTCTGTAAATTCCCTTTCCAACTCCCTTTCCACCCTCCTACAGCAGTAGGTAACACAGTTTGGTTGACTGGTTGAAATTGTCCAAGGCGACCACCCATTGTCGAGGAGAGAAGTGTTTGTTTTAGACAGGTGGTCGTCTTGAGCAGTGTTACAGTGGGTGCCGCATTCAACGAGAAGTCGGCTCCAACGAGGCAATCCTTAATCCCCGATTTTTACCTCTATATCTCTTTGTAAATGTATGTCAGCTCCAACGAGGTTGCAAACAGACCGAAGTCGCTTTCAACGAGATCGTGATAACCAAATAAAAGCAATAAGCGGCCCCAAAACCGAAGAATTTTTCTCCTTTCTCTCCATCTCCCGTGAAGTCGTGAAGCAAAAGGCCCATCCTCGATTCCTAACATATTGTATTTCTAGATCTAGTCTGCCTCCTAATATTATGGGCCCCAAAGCCAAGAGGACATGTGAATGTTAGCCTACGGTAGGGATGGGAGGGGGTGGGTGGGAACGCAATGCGGGCTGTGTGAAACTGGATGAACTCTGGATCGGTAGGTGTAGATCGAGACCTTCATTTTTTTTTCAATTCTTATTTCTTCCCCTGATAAAAAAAATCCAAGCTCCTGCCTTTACTTTATGTAGGTCTAGGCCTAGATCTAGATGTGAGAGCGTATGTTTCCATGCGAGAAGTGTTCCGGAAAAAAAATATTTTAAAATGCAGAAATGACGGTCAGAACTCAGCTCAAACACGCACATTGATGCTGTTTCAGATTTTCGTCATCAGGGGGAAAAACTGTTTTAATTACTGGTATTGGTACATCGTGTAATATAATAACTTGTCTCCTTTCTTTACTTTAGCCTTATTCGCGTCCAACGAGAGGTCGGATCCAACGAGGATGACAAGTCGGTCCCGGCAACCTCGTTGAATGCAACACCCATTGTATTAAGATTTGTATGTGAGGCAGCATGGTGAAATCAGGCACTCATCAAAATCGTGAAGTTGAAGAAACTGGCATTTTTCCGTTGGTTTAGCAATTTTTATTGAATTTTGGTTTTTTTGGGCTAGACACCTTTAATGTCTATTTAAAAACACATTTCATTGTAAATTTTACTGAAAACATTGATTAAGGGCACATGAAATGCAAATTTGCAGTTTTCAAAGACTCTCAAGCTTTGGAAGTCATCAAACTTTGGCAGTTATTTTCTCGCTAGTTTTTACCTCTGAAACCAGGTGACCCCCGCCTCCTTCAATCGTGAATATCTCGACTTTTATTCAAGATAAATGGATTTTTTTTTTTCATTGAAAGCAAGGCGAATGAACAACCTTTAAGATGATACCAATAAATCCATATGCCCAAAAATTGACATGCACCTGATTCCACCATGTCGTGACACATATTAAAGAAATGAAAGGAGAGAAATGAGAAGCGGTCATTCATTTGTACCAGTGGCCATTAGTGTAGATTTGACACTGTGTGTCTACTAAATGTTTTGTTACTGAAAAAATTATGGCTAGATTAATTGAGTTTATAAAATTCTCATCTTGAAGATTAAGCCAGTAACAGAAAAAAAAGTAGCCATCTAGTTGTTGTCTCAAACTCTGCAACATTTCTTTGGTCATACTACTGCATAAATACTTTGTGTTCTGATCTGTCCACCATCCAGTTCTGCTTGAAAGAATATCGGAGGAGCCTGGGACTTATTCCAGAGTCTTCACCTCAAGACGAGGACTTCAGCTCTAATGACAGCTGGGTACACAGCTGTCCGCTTCCGGAAGAACCGAATAGTCAACCCTCTTGCTCACATCAAACTGCTGGTTCTTCCTCTCAGACAATCCGAGAGGGGGGGGAGGACGATTTCAGCTCTGACGAGAGCTGGGTGCATGAAATTCAGGACTCGTTGGAGGGGCGTGAGGAGGAGGAGTTTTGCACTCCAGCGTTGACGGCAACGAGCAGTTTTCTCCCTTCGCAGAACACCCAGGAAGAGCAGTTCAGTGGTGATGTGGATGACAGTTGGGTTCACTCCACCGGGGAGATGCATGATGAGTCGGATGGTCAGTGTCACATTCTTTTAGTTTTAGCAAGGTTTTTTTATATTTTGGGGGGGGGGGGGGTAAGTGTTTTACAGTGCTCACAACTGCATAAGGTCATATGAGCACGCGGGACACATTAAGCATTTTTAGTTGGTAGGAAATTTTGAATTTTGTCCGGGTGGCAGACAAAGCCTACTCTTATCGATTTGAGACCACCAAGGGATCTTTAACGTGTGCAACTTGCACACGGGACCTCCGAGATTTTTCGCCCTTATCCGAGAAGGCCAGGTCTTTTTTACCTTAAGATCAAAAGTGTGGCTGAAAGACAGCAGTAGGAAAAATCCAAGGAGTAACAGTAAAAAGACTGCCGAAAGAGTCAGGAGCCCAGAGGAGGGGGCATAGGAGGTGAGGGGGTGGGGGCAGAAAGTGGAGACAAAAGCAAACGATGGAACATTGTTAGAGAGCAGGAAAGGTGTTGAAAGGAAAACATTTTCCGTCCGTATCCTGATTCGAACCTGGGACCTATTGAATGAGAGGCAAACTGCTTAACCCGTAGACCACAAGAGCTCCCCTTAATTTAAGAAATCACAAAAACGTTTGAGCTAAAAAAGGTATAAAAATTTTGTTTTATATGTTTGAGGAGTGATGCGGTTTCGTCATTGAACAGTGTTCGAATACACGCTGTGGTGGATGCGCTGTAAAAAAGAAAACCTTCCGATTTTCGGTGGAAACACTTGACCCGGAAGTCAACATTATATTATGACCTTTATTTTAACATGGATATGTGGATTAGAATAGAATCTAAGCTAAAATTGAACGTCGGTTCTCAAGCCGCCGGGGGCGGCTTAGCGTACTGACGGCACTTTAGCCGCGCCGCCCCCCCCCAGGGCTCGGCATAGGGAATGAGTTAAGGAGAGACAGGCATTTTAACTCGACTTCGTAATTTTTAAAAAAAAAACGAACTCACTGGTGTTTTATTTATTTTTTTTTTTTTATTTTCCCAGGTACCTTTCGAGTATCCGCTCAAAAATCGCAATCTGAGATCAGCACGCAACGCTCTGAGACTGAACAGGGAGTAAGAGACGATGTAAGTACGTCACCGAATGACCTTGAGCGTGATGGGAGACCAGACAGTGGCACCATCGGCCATGACAGTAACGGAGAGTGGATGAGTAGTCATGGTGTCGGCGCGCAAGCTTTTGATGAGGATGGAGACTTGTTCGATGCAGACAATGCTCGGCTATGGAAAATGAACAGTACTCCTCATTCACTCGCTGATGATAAGCTTTCCGACAGTGATGACGATTTGTTCGACAAAACTGGGAAAAGTGCCGAATATCTTCAGAAACAGTGTAGTGCTCCTGGCTCACAGTCCTTTAACCCATCTGTAGTCAAGGTCAACCGTGGTACAGTTGCCAATAGTGACGATGAGTTTGTCGGTGAAAATGATGTTGATGAATTAAGAGATGAAAATGATGTTGATGTTGATGAGTTTAAAGATGAAAATGATGTTGATGAGTTAAGAGATAAAAATGATGTTGATGTTAATGAGTTAAGAGATGAAAATGATGTTGATGTTGATGAGTTAAGAGATGAAAATGATGTTGATGAGAAAAGAGACAAAAATTATGATGATGATGATGATATCGTGTCGACCCCGCCATTTGGTCATTATGTTACCAAAAAGTCTCCCGGAGAAGAACATGGCAAGGCCACAGACTCGGGCCCCGGAGCGGATTTTGCCGAAATGGAGACCGGGGGGATGAGCACACCGCCGAGAAATGAAGGAACTTACTCTCCCTCACCGAGACGAACGATCTCAACAACAGCTCACGCCGCCGTGGGTCATCGGTTCGTCGGGACCCCACGGAGACGAGCTAGGCGACAGTCGGGTGACTTTGAAACCCCTAGCCCTCCCAAGCAGCGCCGTGTTGTCAGCACTCCGCCAAATCCGGGTACCCCGTTTCGAGATGCTTTCACCTGGTCTGTGACTGTGAATAGCAGTAGAAAACGGTCTGTTCCTTCGGATAGTGAGGATGGGGAGATGGGGTCTTTTTCGGTGAATAAGACTGAAGAAATTTCTGTGACTGTGAGTAGTGGGGAAAAGAGGTCTTGTCAAGAGAATAGTACTGAAAAAATATCTGTGACTGTGGATAGTAATAGTGGAGAGAGGTCTGTTCCTTTGAATAGCGGGGAACAAAGGTCTTGTCAAGAGAATAATGCAGAAGAAATGCCAATGACCGTGAACAATACTGAAGAAATGTCTGTGACTGTGAATGAAACAGAAGAAATGTCTGTTCCTTCGAATAGTGGGGAACAGGGGTCTGTTCCAGAGAATAGTACTGAAAAAATGTCTGTGAATGTGAATATAGTACTGAAGAGAGGTCTGTAACTGTGAATAATATGCTGAAGATGTCTGTGACTGTAAACAGTACTGTAGAGATGATGTTTGTGACTGTGAATAGTAGCATTGAAGAAATGTCTGTAACTGTGAATAGTAATAATAATAATAGATAGCATTTGCATTGCGCAATCCCCTCTCAACAGCCATCTCTATGCGCTTCACAATCTATACTATTACCCCAGCAGACCTGAGAACATTCTGAAACAACTTCCTGGGAAACATACTGTGCAAGCAGCCAGGTATAGGCGCTAAAACACTAGTAGTAAAGAGAGATTTATTAACTGTGAATAGTACCATAGTAAAGAGATGTCTGTAACTGTGAATAGTGATAAAAAGAGATGTATGTATGCCCCTTGAAGAAACAAGGAGGGCATGCTGAAAGTGAAAATAAGACATTCGTTATAATTCAAAGGCACATTTTGGTGCTTTGTGTGAATATTCCTAGTCACTCTTTGGCGCTGATCAATGGTGGCCAGGTGTGTTTGCTTGGCTCTGTGCTTCTGTAATTGCATTTTCTCCGTTCTTCTGCTCGTATCTCTACCGTAACCTTTTGATCCCTCGCCACCAGTGTCACGGAGAGCCCGTAAAACTGCCCTTATGCCTAGCCACGGGTACAGTGGTGTGCGAGACCCTACCTATCCCCAAAACCGGCCAGCCTGAAAAAAAACGCGCACGGGAAACCATGATCACTACGCAGGATGTTACTGATTATTTTGAAGGTCTTTCTGTATTAGATGCTGGAGGACTTACCTTGAGTGGGATATATGAAATGTACATGGCGCTGCACAGTGGCGACCGACAGTGGCATGGTTGTAAACTGTTCTGTATTTGTGTAATATTGTGTATTTATGCATGTATGTTTTTATGCATGTATTTATGTATGTTACGCGTTTATAATTATGTATTTATGTATGCATAGGTCCTGTCCCCGTGGTTTTATGCACCCTGCATAGTTTAGCAAAATTTGATCATTTTTTGCATAATTTCTGATTATTTTCCTTTATCAATCATTCTTTGTTAAGATTAACAGAATTGCATAATTTCACATTTTTGGGCTCAGTTTGCATAATTTCATAATTTTTCTTGCATAAAACGACGGGGAAAGAATTAGGTATGTTTCCCATTGTCAACCAAAGTGCCCTTATTATTTAATAATTTCTTTATGAATGTTAAGGATATATCGCTGAGGAGCTCAGACAGAGGGGCATGGTAGCCTCAAGCCGGGGTCAGGGCTCAAAGGGTTATCTCTGTAAATGTTTATAATTCCTGTTCATTCATGTTATGCCTGTCACTGAGAGCCTGTTTGTGAGTGCAAGCTTCCTATTGTATTATTATGGTTATACGCACAGATGTGTGTGAAAAAGAGGATGTGTGGGGGAAGAGGGTGTGTGTATAATATGGATGTGCACATGTGCATACACATGCGTGTATGTGTGTGTGTGTGTGTGTGGGTGGGTAGGTGGGGTGAAACACCAAACCAATGTGCCATGATCTGGACAATAAAGATGTATCTTATCATATCATATGATCTCATAGGACTGGTTAGTCACCACACACCCCTTTCACCTTTTTAGTTGTTTTTTTTCAAACATAAAATCACTTCTGCATAATAATAATACTGTGATTTTTTTTTTTCCAAAATGGTCTTTTGGAAATACATTTTTCCAAGATTATGCTCAACAAAGATGATGAAAAAAACAAAAACAAAAAAAAACTATGATATATTATTGAGAGACCATAAGACAATAAGAGTATATTGAAATCTGAGTTATGTGCACTACTTACAACACAAATTAATATGTGTCACGACGCGGTGGAATCTAGCGCTCATCAATTTTTGGACATGGGGAGTTTTTGGCATCATCTGAAAGCTGATTTTATTTTCCTTGCTGCGAACGAAATAAATATCTATGTATCTAAATAGAACTCAGGATATCTGCATTTGAAGGGAAATGGCGCCAAAGTTTGGCAACTCCAATAGCTAAAGAGACTTTGACATCTGAAAAATGACATTTTGTGCCTTAAATGAATGTTGTTCAATAAAATTCACATGGAAATATGTTTTTATATGAACATAAAAGAGGTTGAGCCAAAAAATAAAAATTCAAAAAAAATTTCCAAACAGGCGGGAAAATGCCTGTTTTTTTTTTATTTCTGTATTTTGACGAGCGCCTGATTTCACCTTGCTGCCCCACATATATCTTCCCACCTTTATAAGGGCATTTATGTGGACGGTGAAGAGGATTTGCTATTTTCGCAAATATGGTGTGTTGACATAGGGGCTCATTATAAGTAACTACAGCTATGTGGATGGTATTCATCATATTTGTACATGCTGGTGTCATAACACACGTGGTTGGACGGCCACTAGGGATCCGCCGTACTTCTTTTCTTTCCCTCTGACTCTCTTGTTTCATGCATCTTCTTCTTTTTCATCCGTCCTCTTGTACCTCTAGGGATTCGAGGGGAGAAAGAGCTCCCTGTCTCTAGCAAGTTTGATGGCCTGGCAGGTTGGGATATTGTATGTTCTCAGAGTATCCTTCACACCCTGGATCCAGGTCTTTCTTGGTCTTCCTCTTGCCTTGTACCCTGATACTTTTCTGTAGTAGGCTTTAGTGGCAAGCTGTTGAGGTGCCATATATGTGAGATGTCCAAACCACCTGATTGTTTGCCTTCGAATGTAGTGGAGGACAGATGTTGTTCCCATCATTTCTCTGAACTTATTGTTTCTGACCATGTCCCGTTTGGTTTTGTTGACGGCTCTCCTTAGACATCTCATCTCGCAGGTGGTTATCGTATGTTCCAGACTTTTGGTCAGGGTCCATGTCTGGCACCGGTAGCCGGTTGGTCAAGGTGGGGATTTGTTTCATGTATACGTACTAAAAATCTCAATTATTGAGACAAATTATTCACTTTTGCGCAAGTCATAATACTGACTTCGGTAAGCACTGTTTGTTCAAGCTGTCTCAAGATGAAAAGATATTTCGTTGAGCGATTGTGTTATCACCGGACATTTTTTGTATTCTCCCAGACTGTGATTCTTTGTTTTATGATTGCAAAATGCTTTACTTTACTGTTCCTTGTTGTTTCCTGTGGAGACTTTTTGTGCACACAATGTTCCATTTACATTATACATGATGCTGGTTTTGATATTTTTACGCAAAGAGCCGCTGCATGACAGAGGGTATATGAATTTCTATTCTTTTGGTGAAATGTAACCCTGTCTTAACTGTCATGCCTGGCTGGTGTTCATGTACGTTCAGACGTGTGTTGGTTATATTTTGATCTCCTGTGCCTTTTCATTCCTTTTTTGTCTGTCTTTTTTTTCTAAACCATGTAACTTAGGGGCTCCTTCTTCAAAGTGATATCATGTATATACATTATATATTTATATATACACACACACACACACACACACACATATATATATATACAGTTGATTCCACTAAATTCGAAATCTGCGGGACTACCAGATTTTCTTCAGTTTAGCTGTGTTTTAGGTTTAGGATTAGAGAGATTGCTCAAAATAACGAAAACAAAAACTGAAAAAACTTCGGATTTTATTTTCTTTCAGTTTGCTGCTGTTTTTGGATGAACTGTGTCTGGTTTAAGTCAAGTGAACTCCTCTGAATTAATTGTATCTTACAGGGCATTAACCCCCTATCTCAGGCAGGCCAGTCCCAGGAGCTTTTTGTTAGAACTACTATTCCGGTTGCCGTCAGTTTCAAGCTCATTTGCAATTTCCTTCCATTTGTTTGAAGTGTAATTTATGTTGGAATACGATTCATTTGCTCCCCCCCCCCCCCCCCCAGGGCAGTGCTACTGACTGCAGTTGTCTTTAGGCCATTCCCAAAGCGGGGATATTAATGTGTTCTTATGCACAGTAGAATTGTAAAGGGGCTGATTTTTCAATGTCATGCTCATACTGTGCCGGAACATAGGGGGAACTGCTACTTTTTCTGTTTTATCATGTCTTTTTGTCAATATTCAGTCTTCCTCTTTACAGTGTTCATGCTTGGGAGTTTCAGGTTGGACAACTTTCAGACATTTTTATTTTTCAAAACGATGTTTTGCTGAGTAAGCAACTGCAACGAAAAATATATATATTACTGCCCCCCCAAAATAGGTGCTTTGATGTGTGGCCAGCAGCAAAGTCACAGTACCCTGCATTTCCAAATGTTATAACTTACTTACTTGACTTTGACTAAATGTTGTACGTACAGGTCACACTGTTAATTTGTCGCGGACGCCATTTCTGGCATTTTTTGGGTCCCCGAATCGCGGCCGCAATTTTTGCATTTTTCAAAATAAAAAAAGTACTTCATAACAATATTAGACATGTATTTTGATAATTTTAAGGTGTTCATGTATAGATATTTTCATGTGAAGAATGTAGGTACTTTACATCCTATACGTTGCTGTTTGTCTTTTATTTTTCCCATTGTTGTGTTTTGATTTGTTGGTGTGTTAGATTTCTAATTTTTTAAAAGTTTTAGTCCTAAAGAAGTCGCTGCTTTTCTGCTTAAAAATTGAGAGAACAGAGTAAACCTGTAAATTCTTTGCCATATCGACAGGCTGAAGGGTTAGAACCCAGATGGCTGCTGGATCAGAAAAGAAAAAGTATTATAACGTACTCTGATTACTTTAAGTATAATATACCGTAATCTAAGTCACACTGCTATTTTTTCTTGGTTCCCCCCCGGGGCGGTGCCACTGACTGAAGTGTCTTTAGGCCATTCCCAAAGGGGGGGATATTTCTCATTCAAGCGCAGTAGAATTGTAAATGGGCTGATTCATCATGTCACGCTCATAACTGTGCCTGATCTGCAGCAGGGAACTGCTGCTTTTTCTTTCCTAATCCTTACTATTGTCATTTTCCTCTACTTCTTTTGTATGTTTGTCACACTCTTGTGACCTGCTATTTCCGGGGTGCCTTGTGTGATAGTGGAAGCAGACTTTATGCTGTTGAGGCTAGAGAGGTGAGCAGAGTAAGCCTGATTCCCTGTAAAGACTTCACTGTTGACACCCACCCCTTGGCGCTCATATGAACTTATGCAGTTGCGAGCGCCATAAAACCCTCTACTAAAAAATTTATTTTTTTTATTTTAAGTCGTCCCGTGGCTGTTTTGTCATGTCTTTTTGTCAATATTCAGTCTTCCTCTTTACAGTGTTCATGCTTGGGAGTTTCAGGTTGGACAACTTTCAGATGTTTTTATTTTTCAAAACGATGTTTTGCTGAGTAAGCAACTGCGACGAAAAATATATATATTACTGCCCCCCAAAAAATAGGTGCTTTGATGTGTGGCCAGCAGCAAAGTCACAGTACCCTGCATTTCAAAATGTCATAACTTACTTACTTTACTTTGACTAAATATTGTACGTACAGGTCACACTGTTAATTTGTTCTTGTTGTTTGTTACTTATATATTATGAGTCTACATCTCTACTGTGTTCATTCCAGTGACTTTGTGTACAATTTTCAGATGTTTTAATTTTTTGAAACTTTATGTCACAACGTGATGGAATCAAGCGCTCGTCTATTTTTGGGCTTGTGGTGTTATTGGTATCATTTTAAAGCTTGTTCTATTGTCTTGCTATCGGTGAAATAAATGCCCATCTATGTTGAACTTGAATAGAAGTCAATTTATTTGAGATTGAAGAAGGTGGGGTCGCCTGGTTTGAAGGGTAGAATTAGTGAGAAAATGGCCTCCAAGGTTTGGTGATTTCTACAGCTTGATAGTCCTTAGAAACTAAAAACTTACATTTTTTGTGCCTTTAATTTTAATCAAACGTTTTTCAGTAAAATCCACCCGAGAAATGTGTTCTTATTTGGACAGCTATAGTGTT